AAGGGTTCACGAGCAGTTGGACTGGTGTACCAAAAAATATATCTAGTGTGTGGGTTGTGTGTGTGTGTGTGTGTGTGTGTGTGTGTGTGTGTGTGTGTGTGTGTGTGTGTGTGTGCTTGCGCGCGTGCGCGCGGTTATGCTTGTGTGTTGTATCAAATTGACGGCATGGCAGTGACGTCATCAGTAACCAACATTGCAATGAACTCTTATTTTGAAGAGATTAGGAAGAAAGCTGCGCAAACACACGTGCATTTATTGAACTTTATTGACTTTTATTTTCCGATGTGACGTGAGATTGTCGGGTTGTGAATCAACAATTCAGGAAGCCACATGATGTACGCCACCTGTTGGCTTGGAGGGGAACCAATCAATATACCAGGAATCATGTCGCAACCCGTGTTCTTCGTCTTCTTCTTCTTCTTCTTCTTCGTCGTCTTCGTAAAGTCACGTGACATATATCTCGTTGGTCGCCCAAAAACAAACCTGTTCAAAGAAAAACACAAAAGGGAGCTTTAAATGCACGAAATAAGATGTAAACATGTAGCCTTTTTTATTTTTTTAAGTTTGGGGCTGTTAATGTGAGGCCGGTAACACGTTTTTGAGCATGCCAACTTTAGTATCCAGTTTTGATTGACAGGGGTCTTACTTGTGAATCAGTCATCCAAGTTCTTCTTGGTGCCCCCATCTCTGGTTTTGGCCCTCAGCTTGTTGACTTGGGTCTCTGCCACGTCGGCTCTCTCCTGCGCTTCTTCCAGCTCGTGTTGCAGCTTGCGTACTTTGGCCATGTTGCCGTTGGCCGCCTCCTCCGCCTCCTCTGCGGCGCGTTTGTAGGATTTGACTTTCACCTGCAGCTTGTCCACCAAGTCCTGGAGTCGAGCCATGTTCTTGCGGTCTTCCTCGGTCTGGTAGGTGAGTTCTTTAATGCGGCGTTCGTACTTGCGGACACCTTTGACGGACTCACTTCCTCTACGCTGCTCCGCCTCCAGCTCGTTCTCCAGGTCTTTGATGCGAACTTCCAGTTTCTGCAGTTGTTTTTTGCCACCTTTCATGGCGATCTGCTCGGCCTCGTCCAGGCGGTGCTGGAGGTCTTTGATGGTCTGTTCCATGTTCTTCTTCATGCGCTCCAGATGCGCGGTGGTGTCCTGCTCCTTCTTCAGCTCTTCAGCCATCATGGCCGCATCAGTGATGGCCTTCTTTGCCTTTTCCTCGGCGTTGCGATTCTCCTGGACCACCTCCTCCATTTCATTTTGCAGGTGGAGGAGGTCCGCCTCGTGCTTCTTCTTCTGGTTGATCAGGCTGGTGTTCTGAGAGTGCAGGAGCTGCATGCGCTCCGTGGAGTCGGTCAGTTCCTGCTCGGCCAGCTTGCGGCTTCTGTCTGTTTGCTCCAGTGCGGCCCTGACCTCTTCCAGCTCAGCCTGGATCAAATTGTTTCGACGTTCTAGGACGGCGATGTTCTCCCGCAGGTCATCGTTCCCGCGCTGCACGTCATCCAGTGTCAACTGGGTGTCCTTCAGGAAAACCTGGAGGCTTTTGAGTTGTTTCTGGGCGTCGACCGCTTGCCGGTTTGCTTGGCTGAGCTGGATCTCCATCTCGTTGAGGTCACCCTCCATCTTCTTTCTCACTCTCAGCGCTTCATTGCGGCTCCTGGTCTCGGACTCCAGAGAGGACTGGAGCGAGTCCACCACACGTTGGTAGTTCCTCTTGGCCTGCTCCATTTCCTCGTCCTTCTCCGCCATTTTCCGCTCCATGTCAGCCTTTGCTTGGTTGAACTCCAGTTGGGCTCGTAGGATTTTGCTCTCTTCGTGCTCCAGCGAGCCTTCGGCTTCCTCTAGAGCTGCCTGTAACTCTGCCTTTTCTTGCTCTAGCTGTTTCCTCATCTTCTCAAGTTCACAAGCACTTCTGCCACCCTCCCCGAGCTGGTCATTCAGGTCCGAGATCTCCTCTTGCAGGTTCTTGTTCTCTCTCCTCATGGTTTCCAGGTGATCCAGGCACTCCTCGTAGGCATTTTTCAGTTTAAAGAGTTCGGTGCTGAGAGTTCGGGCCTCCTTCTGGGAGGCTTCCAGCTCACATTGGGACTCCTCGAACTTTTGCTTCCACTCTGCCAGGACTTTGTCAAAAGCGCGTTGTTTTTTATCCAGTCCTGCGGAAGCTGCATTGGACCTCTCCAGGTCCAGCATCAGGTCCTCAATCTCATTTTGGAGCCGGTGCTTGGTCTTCTCGAGCGATGAACATTTGGCATTGGCCGCTTCAATGGCCTCCTCGGCCTCCTGCAGTCTCTGAACCAGCTTCTTTTTAGCTTCCTCCAGCTCCTCGGTTTTCTGGATGGCGTCGGTTTCGTACTTGTTCCTCCACGCTGAGACTTCGTTGTTGGATTTGGACAGGGCCCTCTGCAGCTCAGCCTTGGCTTCCTGTTCCTCTTCAAACTGTTCTCGCAGCAGGTCACAGTCGTGGCGGGCCGACTGCACAGCGTGTGCTAGTGCGTTCTTCGCCTTGACTTCCTCTTCCAGTTGTCTGCGAAGGTCTTCGACCTGCTGGTTGTATGAATTCTTCCCTCTGGTGAGCTGTGAGATCAAGCAATCCTTCTCCTCCAGCTGCCGTCCAAACTCGCCATTCTCAGCGAGCAGCTTGGCCCTCTGGGTGGTCAAGTCATTGACGGATCGTTGAGCCTCCTCGTATTTGCTCTTGTACTCTGTCGTGGTGTCCTCCATTGTTCGGCACATCTTTTCAACATTGGACTTGTTCCTGGCCATGCTCTCCATGCTGGAAGCGAAGTCGTCCAGCTCGAGCTTCAGCTCACTTTTTTCCTTCTCCAGTTTCTGCTTGACCCGCTGGAGGTTGTCAATTTGCTCGCCCAGTTCGGCCACGCTATCGGCATGCTTTTTCCTGAGCGCGGCAGCGGTAGC